TTATTATTCAAAAAACCAGATTGCTTTTGATAGAGGACATTCACACGATTATTTTAAGACCTTAACTTTTGAAATCGGTCCCATAGAATTTTGGACATTCTACTGATCCGGTTGACGTGGAATGTCCCTTATAAATATGTCAAAAAATGACAATACAAAATTTTGCTAATACAAAGCTTCCTTTATGAGGAAGCAATCAGGGACGTAACTATCACACAGCAAAACCCCGCATTGCAGGGGGGCCTCTGGTTACAGGGGGCCTCGGCAACAAAAATTTTTTGAAAATTTTAGACTGAATAATAAAATTATATAAATTTTGTAAAAAAAATATTATATTTAAAAATATTTTTTTAAGCAGTCTAACTTTTTATTATTAATATTTTTATCACATTTTATTCTATAGTTCTGAATTGCTGATTATTTTATTCTCCTTAAAAAATCACCAAATACGTTAAGAAACTTCAAAACTCTCGTAATTACTTTTATATTTTCAGTGCATTGAATTAAATATTATTGAAAATATTTCAAAAATTACGTTTAATTTTTTCATTAATAATTGTAAATTTGAAATGTTAGTCGCCTTAAGAGGGCCTCAAGAGGAATGTTGCGGGGGGGCCTATTCGTTCCTTGTTACTTTTTTTTTTTTTTTTTTTTTAATTTATTGTATTAAGATATTAAATCTATTACAAGAGTCCATCTGAAACAGCTATAATAAATATCAGTAATCATCCTCTAACAAAAGTGAACGTCGTTTTAGACTATTCGTAATAAAATGAACTAAATTTTTACAATGTAATACTGAATCAGTAAAAATAACCTTACAAAAAGGATCACAAATTAAATACTTTTCTCTCAAATCCGCGTACTTAGGACACTCCCACATAAAATGTTCTAATGATTCAGGTACATATTCATCACAAAGCGTACACATTGCTTCCGTTGAGAACCGATAAACTATTTTGTTTAATTTAAATCTTACTTCATTAAAATTTGAGAGTCTTAATTGAGACATAATTCGTGTAAAATGAATAGGGACTTGAAAGGTTAAATATTTTTCACATTTAAGCTCATTTAAATTAACAAGAAACTTATAAATTGGGCTATATCTAGAATCACTCACACGTTGAATGTCACTGTTAAAAGAAAGTTCTTTCATATTCTCACGTAATTGTTTCCAGTTGAGAGATGTAGGATCTTGATTTAGCCATATTTCTTCAATTCCGAGTCTGATGAACTGTTGTCTCATTAAGGATGCCCAGTTGTATTTTACAATGTTTCCTTTTTTATTGTCCTGAGCCAAAAGATTATTTAGGCATATTTTTGGAAATCTATAATCTTCCATGTTAAAAATTCTAGACCACAGTTTAATTGCCCTAATCATTGCACTGTCACTTAATCTTGATACTCCAACCTCAATTCTAAGCATATAGCCTGGCGTAGTTCTAGGAAGTTCTAACAAATTGCGGAAATAAGCAGCTTGCAGTGAATTGATATCATCAAAATGCCTGAGTCCCCAAACTCCAGCACTGTATAAAAGAGTAGAAACACCCACTGCATCAAACAAACGATTTCTCGAGTCCCACGACGATACCTTTGCAGCCATAAAAGTTGACCAAATGGTTCCCAATGCCACCCTAGCTCTTGCTACCATGCTCTTGGCAGCCAAATTAAATAATCCTGATGTGGTTATTGGTATTCCTAGGTAAACGTAGCTTTTAACTCTTTCCAATGGCTCTTCTCTATATTTGACAGCACGATATTTTTTTGGTTTTCCGCCCTTTGAACAGACTAGTAGTTTCGTCTTCGATGTATTTACTTCTAAAGAGTTAATCCTACAATACTCTGACAATGTATCCAACATCTCTTGCATTTCGATAATGGAAGTAGTATTGAATACTAAATCGTCTGCAAAAAGTATTAATTTAATTTTCTTTGCTATGTCTGTGTGTCCCCTGCTTTCGAAGAATTCTACCATATCATACAAAAAGATCCCAAATAGTAGAGGACTTAACGAGTCACCCTGGAGGATTCCCTCTGTAATATCAATTTCCTCTGTTTTTTCAGCACAACCAATCTTTACTCGCATTTTGGCCTTTGAATAAAAATCCTGCATGACACGAATAATTGTTGCACTAACACCCACCTCATACAGCTTCTTCCAGAGAATCCTGTGGACAACCGAGGGGAAGGCTCTGCGAAAGTCGACAAAGACAAGAAACAATTTACCCTTGGGTTTCTGCAATTCGAGTTGGATTTTTGACGAAAGAATAAATATATTATCTTCACAAGATCTTTTCTTCCTAAATCCGCTTTGAGCCTCTGGCAATATATGGCACTCCTCTGCCCAAGTATTCAATCTTCCAGCGAAAATAGAGGTGAAGATTTTTTCTATTGAATTCATTAATGAGATTCCTCTATAATTCAACGGGTCCTTCGCATCACCCTTCTTGTACAGTAACATTACATCCGATTGACTATGAGGGATTTCACCATCATTAAGAACTTTTTCGAACAAAGTAATCATCAATTTCAGCCACTTCACAGGTAGACACTTAAAGAAATTATTGTTTATTCCATCAGGGCCTGGCGACTTGTTAAGTTTTAGTTTACCAATTACTTTAATCACTTCTTCCATACTTATTTCCCTATTAAGAAAAGGATGTTTACAGTCGTAATAAATTTCATTGGGCGATACAGCAGTGTCGTAGATTTCCTTATAGAAGCTTGTCCATTCCTCTTTCGAAATTATATTATTTTGGTATTTTTTCTTTTTGAAAAATTTCACTGCTTTCCAGAATTCTTTTGGATTTTTTGTATTACATATTGCTTCTTTATGCTTTTTTATATAATCATTTTTGGTGGTTCTCAATAATATAATGTGATCCTTTCTTGCCCTTGTGTAATTGTCTCGATCAATTGTATTTTTTGACTTAAACCATAGTCTACGATACCGATTCAAAATCACTTTTGAAGCCTTACAAGCACTATTAAACCAGGGCTTATTACTGCTTTCCATTGATTGCATTTTTATCGTTTGTTGCATCCCCGATTCAATTGCTGCCTTTTTAATATTTTCAATCAATAGATCATTCATTGTATCAATATCGTGTGGAATTTCATTTGATAATTCGTTTCCAAGGTCTGTAAGCAAATTCAAATACTCTTCTTCCCTTTCATCCTTCCAAACAAATTTCGAAACAGTAGTGTTAATTGGGATTAATGCAGTAGTGAAATCCTCTGGAGTTTTTATTTGTAAAGCAGCACGAATCGGCAAATGGTCTGAGAGTCCGAAATCCCTAACCTCGAAATCTTGAATCACATACAGTCCATTCAGGTTAGTCCAAATATGGTCGATAGTACTAGCACCTTATGCACTCACGTATGTAAAATTTCCTTGACTATCCGATACAGATCTTCCATTTAGGACAACGAATCCAAGGTTCTCCAGTATCTCATGAAGAAGATAACCTTTTCTGTCAGTAACTTCATCTTTTGATCTTCTTATTTCAGAGAATGCACTATCTTCGAACAATTCCTTTTCAAACTGATTTAACGCACCAATTCTAGCATTCACGTCGCCTCCCAATATACACAAACAGTCGCTGGTCCCAACAAAATTAAACAAGGATGATTGGAGTACCTCTACGTTTTCCGAGTAACTCGAGCCTCTCAAATACACGTTGATAATTATATATTTTTTACACTCTATGTAACAACTAAAAATCAGCCAACTTTCCTTAGATTCCAGTACTTTAACTTCTTTCACGATTCTAGAGTCATAGATGGTAAGTAGGCCTCCGCTAGCCCTGCCTCGAGCCTTATCTTTAACTGCTGGTTCTATTAGTGTTTTGTAGTGTGTCCCAAGGAAGGTAGGTAAACTGATTGAATCACTGATAAGCCAAGTTTCACACAAACATATTATCGCGTCACTTTTTAAGTATTTCTCGAAGTCGTCATTATCTAAACTGAAAAAATTATTTATACCGTGAATATTCCAAAAGGTTATACCAACACAATTTTCCGATAAATCAGACAAAATGTCTCTCTGAGAGAAGGAAGAACAAAAAGGGTCCCTGTCAACGTTTTGTTTAGAAATTTGACTTGCCTGACAGCTATTCACAAGATCGTCGAAATGTCTGGGAAGCCGTTCTACTCTGTGTCGCTTGTTCTAGGCTATCACTGTTCCTCACTTCCACTAATCCTTGATTATCCCTCCAAATAAAATTCTTGTCCTCGATTGTCAATTTCCGATATCCAACTTTCACTTGATTGCCGGATTGCTTTTCCTTTACAGCTCTCATTCGTATGCTTCTCTGAATTTCACGCTCCTGCCATGTCAAGTCATCATTTATATACGTTTTCGTTCCCTCTAACTTCTTTTTGTTTTTCATAATCATAACTTTATCTTTCACGCTATCCAATTTCACTTTAATCATCTGTTGCTTACTATTTGAAATGTTACGCACTTCTGCAATATTTGCTTCAACATTCAGTGATTCTTTCAAGAATTCGGCGACTTCTATCTTCGCATTCAAGGAGGTTACGAATCCACTAATGACAACATTATTTTTCTTGTCCGCACGATCCCTGATTTCCTCTCTTCTTTCTAGAAAACTAATTCTTTCCAAAAGAGAGGTTTTCTCTTTATCCCACTCTAAAACATGTCTGTCAAAATCTTTACGCAGTGCGTTCAACTCGTCTACCACTCTCGCAATGTTCTGTATTTGCTTTCGCGTTTCTTGATTTTTCTTATCCATCTCTTCAAGCTTCGCCAAAATAACATTTTCACTTGATTCATTCTTTTTCGACGAAAAACTAGTAATCTGAGGTTGTTTAGTGGTATCTCTTCTGGGGGGAGCCATTTTCGTTTTTCTAACAATTACGTGTTTACACGAGGCACACCTAACCTCAAAAATAGGCTGTACACAATTATGTTCTGAAACGTCACTTTAAGACCAATTACACAAAAAACAATAGTCACAACAATGCGCTAACTGAGTATGATGTAATTTGCTTGGCAGAAACTTGGAGCGTATCAGAAAAGATCATTTTACCTAAACCTTTTAATGAATTTTTATTATTTGTGAGTCCTGCTACCAAAGATAAGAGTAAAGGTCGTGCGAGTGGTGGTCTGATCACATTGGTTAGACGGGATTTTTTCTCTGAAGTAACATTAGTCGATGCATGTAATTTGTGGATCTTTGTATCAATAAAATATGAAAATAAAGCATATAATATCGGAAATGTATATTGGCCTCCAAAAGTGGATGACAGTTATTGTGTGGGATCTTTGGATGATTTTCTTACAAGTTTGGAGGACTCAGAGTTTCGAAGTGCGGGAACAATTGTTATGGGCTATTTTAATGCGAGACTGGGATGTTTGAATAGTTTTGTTGACGAAATTTTCGATGAAACAGAGCTGATTGGATTAAGAAATTCAATGGATAATAAAGTGACAAAACGAGGTAAGCAACTCACTCTTGCTATGGAGTCGACCGGGTTTATTTTGTGCAATGGTCGCTCGCCTTCTGACAATCCTGCCAACTATACTTATGTTTCAAAAACGGGTTGCAGTGTAACAGATTTTGTTTGGCTTAATATAAGTTTGATTAAATTATTCTGCGATTTGACTGTATTAAATTTTTCTGATAGTTCAGATCATTTTGGGGTTTGTATAGAACTAGATGTCTCAACGCAGTCTAGATTGGTTCAGACGGCTGTAGGTTTTCCTGTGGAAAATATAAAATGGGATGAAACAAAAATTGATGATTACTTGTATAACCTGTCAGGTTCAACACTATTGTATTTTAATAGCGAAGACACTGATTGCCTCTTCAATAATTTTAAAATAGCAATCCTAGATAGTGCTAGAAAGACTGGAATGTTGACTGTGAAAAAATCATCTGAAAGAGTGAATAGCTTTATGGCAAAAAAACCCTGGTTTGATTGTAAGTGCAATGTGGCTAAACGCAAAGTAAATAAAGACTATAAAAAGTTTAAAAGTAATAAACAGAGTTTGGAACTATTAGAAAATTATATTTCTGCTCGAGACCAATATAAGAAAATCGTTGCGCAGGCCAAAACAGAATATAATGGTCAAATTCAGGTTAAATTAAGTAATTTAAGTAGCAGCAAAGAGTTTTGGAATACGGTTAAACTGTTTAATACTAAGGACTATCGATCCAACGGTGTGGAATTGGATGCATGGGTAGAATTTTATAAGGATGTTTATCCCGGAAGGTGTATAAATGATAGAATTTTTGTAACTGTTTTGCATCCTTATTTGGATTCTGAATTTAGTTTAGATGAACTAAATAAGGTTTTATCTAAATGTAGTAACAATAAGTCACCTGGTCCCGATAAAATTGTTAACGAATTTCTAAAAAATTTGCCGTCGGAATGGTCTCATTATTTTCTCAATATGATTAATAGAATTTTTGAAAGTGAAAACGTGCCGAGATCGTTTGCAGAGGTGAATATGTCTATGTTATATAAGAAGGGGGATCACACCGATCCAATGAATTATAGAGGCATTGCCTTGTTAAATTCTGTCACAAAGGTTTTTACCTCTCTCCTTGCAAAGAGGCTTGGGGGATGGGCGGAGTCTTGCCGTCTAATTCCTGAGGAACAAGCGGGCTTTCGAGCAAAGAGAAGTTGTGTCGAACAGTTATTCACTCTCTCCTGTTTAATTAATACAAATCTAGAAACTAAAAAAGATTATGTTTTTGCAGTATTCGTGGACTTTAAAAGGGCCTTCGACTCCGTCCAGCATAATAAATTATGGTCTAAGCTATTTGAATTGGGGATTTCAGGAAAATTTTTAAGAATTTTAAAAAATTTATATGATGGGGCAAATTTTAGAATTAAACTCGGTTATCGGAAATCTGCTACTATTGATGTAACTGAAGGGGTCTTACAGGGCGACTCTCTTAGCCCTCTGTTGTTTATTTTATTTCTCGCTGATATAATTCAATTCTTTAAGGAGAGGGGAGTACAGGGTTTAAAGTTAGATTCATACAAGGAGGTAGTGATGCTTTTGTTTGCAGATGATATTGTCCTATTGGGACGCTCATGGCATGATACACAGTTAAAGCTCAAAATACTTAAGGAATACTGTGATCTTAACGGCTTGATTTTAAATGTATCAAAAACTAAAATAGTACGTTTTAGAAAATCTGGAAGGTGTAAGAAGTTAAAGCCTCTATTTTGGGGAAGTGAAAAAATTGAGTATGTAAAATCTTATATTTATCTGGGGGTTCCTTTTTCTTCTTCTGGTAAATTTAAATTAGCAAAGGATTCTTTTTTGGCTAAGGGACTTACGGCGGCAGCTAATGTTCGCAGTATTCTATATAGAAGTAAAAACAAATCCTGGTATACTATTGTGAGTCTTTTAAGCAGTGTAATTAATGCCACAGCTTTCTACGGAGGTGAGGTGTGGTCCCTATCTTACTTGAATGATTTAGATTGCGTGCAAACTCGTTTTTTTAAAAATATTTTAGGTTTAGCAAAAAATACTCCCAATCATTTTGTGCGCCTGGAATCTGGTATTCCATTTCCTAATGTAATTTTATTTCGACGTATTCTGAATTGGTGGATAAAATTGCTTGAGATGCCGGATGATAGACTGGCAAAGTGTTGTTTTATAAGAATGTATGAGTTGGATCGTATTGATGGCTCTTTTCCAGTTGGTTCTAATTGGGCTTCGCGGCTTAGAATGCTGTTGGATTCGCTGGGGGCTGGATATTTGTGGGAACACCAATTTCAAAACGTAAATTTTATAAAAAATGAAAAGAAAAATATAATAGAAAAATGGTGTAACAATGAGATTAGTTTGGCAATAGATAGAGTGATAAATTCTAATTATAATCCTAATTATAGATTTTTTAGTCAATTAAACTCAACAGAAGAATATTTAAAATATAATATGTCCATAGGAAAAATTAGAATAGTAAGTCAGTTACGGTTAGCAAATTTAAACAGATTAAAATTAACATATAAACAAAATATATATACATGGAACGCAAATGTCACATGCTCCTTGTGTAATTCCAACGAATGGGAAAATGTTCAGCATTTTTTGCTGCGTTGCCCGATATACGAGCCTCTGCGAACAAGGCATCTTTCTTGTTATATATACACTGAAAAATCAGATAATGAAAACCTCAACAACTTGTTAGTTATTAAATGTCCAAAACAAGTTAACGATTTATTTTATTTTGTTGTAAACGCGCTTCTCTTGAGATCTTTTATTATAAATGAGTAATGTGTGTTCTGTATTGTTTTGTACGCCGAGTTTAATATCTTATGTTTAAGTTTGTTATTCTTTTTATACATTTGTAAACAATTTCAAAAAATTTTATTACAAATAAACTAAACTAAACCAATAGTCACAACAACTCCACCAACATCAATATCACCTCACAACAACAATTTTCAATTGATACGAGCCCAAAGAAAGAAATTATCAATATTTTTGTACTTAGCGAAAATGAACACGGTGCTCACACAATGCGCCACCTATCGGGACTCAAAAGTTCCTTGTTACGTCCCTGGAAGCAATAATTGAATTTTACAAAAAAAATTTATTAAAATTTTAGAATATAATTGAATTTTTCCGACGAACTTTGTTATTTGTGGAAATAATTGCATTCTTGTGAAGAGTTTTACTATTTATTTATAAAAATAACACAGGCCTACAAAATTTAGAATTTTGTCAGACCCAGAAACGGGATAAGTCATTTCCGATGTAATTTGTCACCCTGAATCCAAAACTGTCAGCGAAATTGCTCTATCACGTCAGGATTCTGAGATATTCTAACCTAAAAGAGTAAAAAAGGACATTTTTTGCAACATTTGACTCTCCATAAAATCTACAAAAAATTTTTTGTATCATTGGAACGAATTTTAAAAAAAGGACAATTATTCACCTTTCAAAATATTCTACACCCGATCCGATCCGACTTTTTTTTACTAAGATACAACAATTTAAAGTTTAGGTTACACGACCTAAAAACTGAAAAAAGAAAGAAAAGAATAATTGGAAAGTACTTTAACTTAAGCATCTGATTCTTAATATTTTGGGATCGTTGATTAGAAAACCGATGTCGGATTTTCAAAATTCAAAATGGCGGATCCAATATGGCGGCTGTCAAAATAAAAAATTGATCGGATTCGCTTGAAACTTTTTACTCGGGGGTTTTTGAGGTCGCTAATTACGAATCCGATGTCAGATTTTCGAAATTCAAAATGGCGGATGTAATGTGGCGACATATTTTTAAAAAATTTAACGGATTGGCTTGAAACTCCTTACTCGGGTGTTTTCGAGGTCGCTTATTAAGAATCTAGTGTCACATTTTTGAAATTTAAAATTATTGTGGATCTAATATGGTATTATATGTTAGTAAAATCGAAGAACGTAAAATTCGAACATTTAGGGTATTATTTATACACTCTTTTAGTAAATAAAATTTAAAGTTTTATTTTTCTTTATGAACCTTTACACATTTTTCTACAAAGGATCTTCGTATAGTTGGTTTCGTTTTTAGAGTATAATACAAAATCAGTCCTTTGATTATATCTGGACCTGTAAATACATCTTTTTTCAATTTAGATATCTATAGGTGTGGAAATCTTTTTTTCAAGTACTCAAAAGACTTCGAATTTTACGTTTTTCGATTTTACTAACATATAATACCATATTCGATCCACAATAATTGAGCCTCCCAATTCAAGAACTCGCCCGACGCGGCTCTTTTATCCCAGCGTCGGGCGAGTTCTTGAATTGGGAGGCTCAATTTTAAATTTCGAAAATGTGACACCAGATTCTTAATAAGCGACCTCAAAAACACCCGAGTGAAGAGTTTTAAGCGAATCCGTTAAATTTTTTAAAAATATGTCGCCATATTACATCCGCCATTTTGAATTTCGAAAATCTGACATCGGATTCGTAATTAGCGACCTCAAAAACCCCCGAGTAAAAAGTTTCAAGCGAATCTGACCAATTTTTTATTTTGACAGCCGCCATATTGGATCCGCCATTTTGAGTTTTGAAAATTCGACATCGGTTTTCTAATCAACGATCCCAAAATATTAAGAATCAGATGCTTAAGTTAAAGTACTTTCCAATTATTCTTTTCTTCCTTTTTTCAATTTTTAGGTCGTGTAACCTAAACTTTAAATTGTTGTATCTTAGTAAAAAAAAGTCGGATCGGATCGGGTGTAGAATATTTTGAAAGGTGAATAATTGTACTTTTTTTTAAATTCGTTCCAATAATACAAAAAATTTTTTGTAGATTTTATGGAGAGTCGAATGTTGCCAAAAATGGCCTTTTTTACTCTTTTAGGTTAGAATATCTCAGAATCCTGACGTGATAGAGCAATTTCGCTGCCAGTTTTGGATTCAGGGTGACAAATTACATCGGAAATGACTTATCCCGTTTGTGGGTCTGAAATTTGTAGGCCTGTGATAATTGTTTTGTTATTTATGAAAATAATTTAATTCTCCCGAAAAGTTTTATTACTTCTGAAAATAATTGAATTTTTGCAAAGATTTTATTAAAATTTTTGAAAATTATAATTAGTTTTGCACTGAATAAGTGAATTTTTAAATTTTGAATCTGAAAGTGTTAAAAAATTAAAATTAATATTTGAAAATAAAAAATGTTGTAAGTTTCATAATAAAAAATTGAATACCACGTTTTACGCGTAAAATTTGCAATAATAAGAATTGAAAAACAATGTTTTCTTTTTTCATATGAACCAAAGTGGGAAACATCAAGGGCGGAAAGAGTGTGCGTCTTGATACGATTATTTGGCCAGATGGTGGAATTGTGCCCGCTTATGTTGAGCAAGGTGGTGAGAAAATTGGAATGCCCTTGTATCAAATAGTAACTGCACTCGCACCACCATTCACGATGGTCATCAGGGTGAAATAACAAAATGCCAAAGAATTGGAAGGACGGACATTTTGGAAGAAAACTTGGACGCGATGGTACATGGAATGGCGTGATCGGCTCAATTAGCTTTTGCCCCATTGAGCGTTTCTAAGCGACGTGTCGAGGTGGTCGATTTTACAACTCCGTATTTTTACAGCGGAGTCAGTTTTTTATCCGTACCGAAACATAACTATGGATAGCCGTATTTACCTCGTTACATATTACAGCCTTCAGCGTTGGAATCTTCTAATGGTACAGTCCCTTTGGATTAAACCCATAGGGGCCTCCTTTGCAGTCACTTTGTGGCATTTAAAGCTCCGAAATCATGGCTTAATAAATTCTTGCTCGCTGGACTCTTTTTCATTCGTCCGTCACGACGCATCGAAAATTCTAAAATTCCTAGAATTTTATATTTTTATTAATAATCCAAAAAAACATAAAACAAAAATTCTAACTGTAAATTTGCAATGTTTCATTATTAAAAAACTAATTTCAGATCACAATTTTGATATAAATAATGAATTAATAATAGTATTTATATAAATAATAATAATAAAACATATTCCATTGAAATTTTCAAAAAATATTTCTCGAAAATGTTTTTCTAAAAACTATTCTTGAAACAAAAAATAAAACAAATAAATTTATTTTTGGCTTGAATCTACATTTTCCTTTTTTGGAAATTATTTTTGAATTCAAATGGAATTTTACGAATAAAAAAATGATATTTCTAATTGAAAAAACACTCATATGTGTATAAAAATGCATTTTTGGCTAATTTATAATAATTATTTAACGCCAGAAAAAGTTGGTCAATAAATCTACCGTTGTATCCCTTTAAAACGTCGTTTGCACGCGTTTCCTTGTAAAATTCATCCATTTTCGCGTGCTTTGTCATTTAAAATCTCTGCGAAATTATGTTATCATATACACACCAGATAACTAAGTACTCAAAAACAAAAAAAAATAATAAAAAAATGGTTGAAACCACAAATTTCGTAGTTGATAAATTTTGTTAATTACAAAGTCCGAATTTCTAAAAAAGTTTTTTTAAAAAAAAGAAATTTAAATTTACTAAATTTAAAATTTAATACAAGAAATAAAAAAAAATGAATTCAAAATTAATTACGTAAGTAAAAAATTACTTTTTTCCTTCCGTATTACAACTTCTGAAAATTTACCTTTGTCTATACAATTTCTTTTTGACTTTGAAAAACAAGTTGTAAATCCAGATGTTCATTACATGAACATTTTGCTTCCTCTTTACGATCAGCAAAAAAATTTGATTTCTCGTAGAGGAAGCATTAACGACAAGTATATTTAATTTTTAAATCATTTTTAATATAATTTAACATTAATAAAGTTCAATAAAGTTCATTCGTCTTAATAGAAAGAATAAAATTTTCTTATACAGTAATATGAATCTAAATAAACAAAAAAATTTTTAGTAAAAAAGTGAATTTTTCAATTTTAATTGTAATTAATTCTATAATTTTTAATATAATATATACTTTATATATGTCGTAGCCACATTGTGAAAAACCGCACTTCATGAAATGCCTAGACGTTTCATGAAGTGCAGGCACATTGTGAAAAAAATATTTACTTCACCATGTGTCCAATATTTTTGGACATTTCATGAAGTGCAACAGCCAATTATGCATTTTGTGAAACTAAATAAAATTTCACAATATGTCCAAATATAAAATGCATTTCATGAAATGCCCAAGTCGTATTTCTACGGTAAGTATAATCTCAAATTAAAATCTGATTCCCCACCTTAACCGATTAATTAGTCTTTCATTTACAAATCAATGTCATTATCTGTCTATTAATGTAGTGTTGTTAGTACATTTGAAAAAGAAAGACTGATTATCTAATTTATATTTTTAAAAAAATGGAAAACGAATCTGTGACGCGCGTGGTAGTGAAATAGTCTCGACAAAGAATAAACTGTAAGTAATCTGTAAAACCATAATTTAAATATAAATAAAAGAAATTTAATTTTTTATAATTAAGAAAATTGAAATAAATTAAAAAAAATTTATATTAGATAATCAGTCTTTCTTTTTCAAATGTACTAACAACACTACATTAATAGACAGATAATGACATTGATTTGTAAATGAATGACTAATTAATCGGTTAAGGTGGGGAATCAGATTTTAATTTGAGATTATACTTACCGTAGAAATAATACTAAGAAAGTTCATACAATTTCTTCATTATCGGCATTCAACGACTTGGGCATTTCATGAAATGCATTTTATATTTGGACGTATTGTGAAATTTTATTTAGTTTCACAAAATGCATAATTGGCTGTTGCACTTCATGAAATGTCCAAAAATATTGGACACGTGGTGAAGTAAATATTTTTTTCACAATGTGCCTGCACTTCATGAAACGTCTAGGCATTTCATGAAGTGCGGTTTTTCACAATGTGGCTACGACATATACATAAATCGATTCGTCTTGATACAAAGAATAAGATTTTTGATTTATTTTTTAATAAATAATATTTTATTGTACAGCAACATGATTTTTAAGAAAAAATGAATTTTTATTAAAAGTGCACATTTTTTGTCTATAATTGGTTTTAATTCTATATTAACAAATTACTTCTAAGTAATGTATTAAATTTGAAAAGTACGAAATTAAATTTCAAAGACAAAGTTTTAATATCGCATTATTCATAAAGAAGAATATTCCATTTGTGAAAACCGACTAATTAATCAAAGCCGTTCATTTATAATCCTTTCTCTGTAATTTAAATATGTTCATTGTTCAGAATTGTAATTATTTCTTCCTATTATTTACATATTGTATAATTTTACATCCATATAATATAATAAAATAATGCCTTATGAAACGAATACTAATATTTATAACAAAATATAAAATTATAAATAAAGTAAAAATTATTCCCTTTGCATTGCAAGAAATTGAATTTAATATGAAAAAAATATTTAACAAAAATATGCAAATAAATATTAAATATATATTAATTAACTTTACAATAATTCACAAAAAACAAAAAAAAATTTTCAAAATTTAATTTCAGATTTAAATATTAAAAAAAACAATAGAACCTGTTACACCTGTTAATTTATTCTTTGCATATTTATAAAGAAACCTATTTTTAAAAAAAGATGAAAAAAACAAGAAATAAATCAACTCGTCAAAATTATTTCAAATTAAAAAAAAAATTATCCTTTTATCCTTCTCTTCACGGGATCGCTCAGTAAATTTTTGAATAAATAAATAAATCTTTTTTAAAATCGAAATAAAATGAACAGTGACTTTTGATGCAAAAGAAAAAAATTCTAAGGTCAATGAAAATTCATTTCAACTCGCAGTTTTTTTTCACAAGACGCGTTAAATTTTTCGCAGAAAAGCCTTGGATTCATTTCAGAATTCATATGCGGTCTTGAGGGACTTAGAATTTAAGATGGATCTATAAGGATTTTCAACAGGTCTTGAAAAGTGTCTCATTTTTCACGCGGGCAGCTTTTCTCGGCTTATATTCTGACCTTTCTCTCTCTCTCACTTTTCGTTTTAATTGCAAAAAAAAAAAATTATTTCAAATTCAAAAAGATTTGAAAAAAATATGTATACACAACAATTATAATAATTAGCGCTAGTAATTAACAGATCAATTCAAAGCGCATATAAGTTAATTGGATATTTCGTTAAATTATAAATCAAAACTGATAATAACAGTTAACAATTTATGTATCAATTGCAATTATAATTTACTTTGTGCGAAACGTAATATTAATAGTAATAATAATAATCAAAATAATAATAATTGGCTCTGCCCGTAAATTTTTTTTTTGAATAAATAAATATATACAGTGCCGCTCAATAACTTTTGCCCACCCTACAGCGATTGAGAGCTGTACAAAAAGTTTTGTATTTTGTTTATTATTAAAGATAAAAAGCTCAAAAAGGTCTCTTTTTAAAGCTCTTTTCCTGAGCTTTAACACTGTATAAAATAAAAATTAAAAAAATTAATTTGTTAATGTTTAAAAAATATTATTGCAACATAAAATTTTTCGTTTTTCTTTGTTTTTTTTAAAGTGATACAGTTTGTTAGGAAATGGTCGCATTTTAATCCCATATATATTTTCTGAAAGCTAGTTTTATCACCTTTAAAATGCATTTTTTAAAAATTTTATACGATAATTTTTAAGAAAAATATGATTTTTTGTTTAAAAAATAGCCATTTTTTTCAATTGTTGATAACTCAAAAACGGTTACTTTAGGAAAAAATTTTTAAGAACATAAATTATTCCTTTTTATGTGCAGAATTAGAAAAAAAATATTAAAAATTTTTTTTTCAAAAAAATTGTCGATAACTCAAAAACGGTTACTTTAGGAAAAAAATTTTTAAGAACATAAATTGTTCCTTTTTATGTGCAGAATTAGAAAAAAAACATTAAAAATTTTTTTTTCAAAAAAATTTTTTTGACTTTTTTTGAAAAATATTTTTTTTTTATTTTTTATATTTTTTAGTTTTAATTGTAGAAACTCGCTTTTTACACTCATTACAACAAGCAAGAAAATTTTTCATCGTATTTATTTAATTTTTTTCAATAATTTTAACTCACCAATCATTTAAATAACTTTTGATATAATACTTATTTATTATATTGTTTGTAAACGGATTAAAGGTTCTTAATTACTTCGACGATTGTCATCATAATGTCAGTCTTGTGACAATTGTCATAAATATCGGAAGTCTTTCTCTATATATTTGAAAATACGCGAAATTGGATAAAATATTTATTATTTAAATTTATTATTAACATTATATGTTCTGATTAATCAGCAAAATGAAATCTCGAAATTTAACTATACTGATGAGCGCATAGCAATAATAACGCATCACAAAGATGGAAAAAGTAATCGACAGATTTCGAAATTAATTAACATTTCAAGACGTACTGTCGATTACAATGTTAATAAATTTTTAAAATTTGCTAGTATTAAAAATAGA